GTCACCGAGCCGCAGCCGCTGTCGCGTCACAGTGCAGCGCGGCTGTGCCGCCCCGACAGTACGTAATGATGAGGACTGTACGTGCAGCCGTATCTACCGTAGCGGTTATTGGCACGATGTCAACGAAACTCGTCCAAAATTGCTTTCTGAGTCGTGTAGAACAAAGGCTTTTTTGCAGGTTTTTGACCGTTCACTTCGCTTTTTCGCCATTTTCCCACTATATGGCACCTCTCTGCCATTTCAGACCGAATACCAAATTATCGCGCTGCATACCAAAAAAGGCGAGTGTGCATGTTTTCGTCGAAGACCAGATGACCGTTGTTTGGAGGAGGTGTACCACGAATAATCCATCCTACGCCATGTTCAAATGAAGTATACAGCCACATCTACCGCATCTCACAGATGTGGATTGGACCTGATGCCTCACTGATCATGGAACGGGATAATCTTTGAGCGGATCCCAGAAAAGTCTCCTTCATTCCTCACAATCGCGAAAATCGCCGGGTAATGGCTTTGGCATTCGCTTGACGCACACTGGCTGGCAAGGTCCCTGATCCAGTGGTCATCATAGAGTCGCAACATATGCCCAATCCATATGATCTTCCAGTAGGCGAATACTACTGCTGCCAGGCCAAGTCGAAGGAGGTAGAAAGTGGGGAAACTTCAACATCACCTTATCGAGACCCCATCCAGTGCTACTACAACTTGTATCTGATTGCGAGATCGTAAAGGATGGTCCATGCACAGAGTAGCAATATTTGATTTCTTCCCCGAAACGATTTGTGCTGTTCCATTAGGAATCAGAAATTACTGTCATTTACCCCGCCAACACAAGAAGATTGAGATAGAGTAATCCCATGGAAACAAGGATTTTCTGGCTGCGATTTGAAAAGAAAAACCAAGTGATCCTGGATGGCAACCCTTCAGTTACCAACACTTGTAAGAGCTCCCCCTCAGAAAAAAGTAACTTTGTTCGAGTATGCATACGAAACAAATATAATTTCAAAAAGCAGTAACCAAATCACCTGGCACTGGTCCCAGGAAAGCGTTTTCGTTGAGACTGTCCCTTTGGAAGACATAGCCAATCTGTAAAAGAATTATCAAAATCACATACTATGTAGTTCGGTAATTTTCACGTGCTCCGCGGCCGAAAAAGTCTATAGCGCTGTTTTATTTTTCTTTGCTTCCTAGAATTTTTTCTGATCGCATGATCCAAAGAAGGAAACAGTTACAAAAGAGCTGTGGCGATCTTATAGCTCGTCATACGAATAAGCTTTTTTGGAAAACACCCAAAAACGCAATTTTTTTTCTTTCAATAGATAAACCAAGAACGGTGAAAAGGGCTTCGGTAAATGCAAACCTTATAGTAATTCAGAACTTCCACAGAGTATGAGCATTCCCCATTGCCTTGAACAGAAATGTTTGTCATCGCTGAAAAAACCAGTGTTCTTTTAGAGCGGAGAAGAAGCTTCATTTACTTTTTTGCACATCAGTAGTCTGTCTTTTTGAAATGAGACCATGAGGAGGCAAGAGTTTAGTGCGCAGTCATCTGCTCGCATATACAGGGGGGGGCAATAAAAAAGACACTTTTCTCCCTTGACTTTCGAGGCGCTATAAGTTACACTTGATTGAATTCTGATCGGACCTTTTTACTACCATATTGAAGAGCATATTAAATACTATCATGATGCTCCGCCACAGCCTTCTGGACCACCGCCATCGAGAGATTCTGCCACGCAACCATGGTTCGGTGCCTGAGTTCAGCGAGATCGTTGATTTCTCCGCCACTGTAGACCACCCTGTTGAACTCCGCCCAAACCTGACCACCGTGTGAGCGTCCCTGTTAGTGTGAGTCTTTGTTGATGAAGTTTGACTGTGTGACTCTGACTTGAATGTGTGATGTTCTGCCTGTGACCCTGTGGATGTGAACGAAACTTCACCGAGTCATGTAATTGATGGGCGTTTAGGTTAGGCGACTCGCTTTGATATTCCCGTTCTCTCTCAGGGAACCTTAACGCCCCTCCCGTTCCACAGCTAAACGCGCAGATGTTTTCCAACGCCCTCGATTACATGCTGATTGCCCACCCAATCCTGCTAGCAGTCACAAAGTTTCCCCCAAGACGAAGGTACGCGGCCGAGACCATGTGGCGGAGGATACTGCCCCCGCTTTTCTCCTCGATTGATCGATTGTAACCGCCAGCGCCACCTCAGCCTTCAGTCCGGGGTCACGAACAAAATTCCAGCTTTCCAAGATACGGTCTCGGTCAAACCGTCACCCGTCTTGACGAACTGTTGTGAAAGAATGATGTCCTAAAAGGCGTACGACTTTGTCGGAGCTGCTCGATGTGGAGGTCCTCTGCAGATCCGAGAATGCTGCGTTCTCCAGGTAGCTATCCATGGGTGACTCCATACTAGAAGTTTCGCAGCTGTTTGGAGGTGACATGAACCAGTCAGGCTGCGACTGGAGATGACTTCATATTTTGGTGTACATGAAGGTGATGGGCGAGAGCTCCTGCTTATCGAGGAACATCTTGGGTATCTTCCGCCCTGGTACTCGTATCCACGTCCTCTGTCTGGGCAGCGAAAACTTTGCTGATATGACTCGGTCGAAGTGACTTTTTTGGCCCCTCCCCTGTATATCCAAGAGCAGCTCTACACCTCCTAACATTTTCACGGGTGGTGAAAACTTTATGAAGACTTCCTATCGATGTACAGCCTTTATCTAGGAACTGAGCATATTCGTGCCTCGTTCCGGAGCTCCGAGGCGCGCACCTCATCTCACATCAGACGGGCACTGGCTAAATTATGCTAAACGTTGAAGTTCCTAGTTTGAAGGGTCAATTATCACGCTGCTAAGAGAAATGAGCCACTTTGCTCACCCACTAGCCCTGAAGCCATACTCACAAACGCTGACGAGTTACTTACACACATGAGAGGCCCGAGGTGGGTTATTTCTCAGTTGTTTTTTGCAAGCAGAAGCATGCTCCACATACGCCACCTCCTTGACGGGGAAGTTGAAGTCGTTTTATGCCGCCATAGAGCTCAAGACGGCTCGCAGTTTTTTGCATAAGGCAGTCGCTCGATTTCCACGGTCGAATGACGTGCAGGAGCTGTCACCTCATAGTGGAAGACTAGCTCTCAGGACAAGGTCAGTACACACAATGATTCACTCTCAATGACTCCATCCTGATGGTCGAATTCATGGTCACAAGCCCGCGGATCCCTTATTCGTCGATTCGACGTGTTTTTCTGGCTATTCAACATCATTGAGCTGGAAGTGCAGTTTCTGTAACTTGAAGGGGCATCACCGCATCATGCACCAAAATAGGGCGAGGGAATAAAGGCTTGGTTAGTGGGTCTTGAACTTGATCCCAGGATCGTACACACGATAAGCGGGCCACCTTGTTTCACTAAAACACCTCCGCTGCAAATGTGGCTCCTACACTAAACAAAATTTGAAACTATTTCTTTTCAGAAGGTGAGTAGGCGAGTACCGTTAGATCGAATTGCGAATTTGTAGGTTGACTGCCCAATCGTTGTGGAACTTAGTGGCGGTCCGCCTAAAACAGGGAAACAGAACAATACAGAAGAACATAGCAAATTCGTAGAATCCGCTAGTTACCTTGGTTAGTAGTTACCGTTACATCAGTAGTATTCTTCACATGAACAAATAATGTAAGTGT